GGCGGGACCTTCAGTTGTGCGCCCACCGTGTTCTGTAGGAAGGGGACGTGCAGCGGCACCTCTACCTCCAGGACGTGCTTACGGGGGTGGCCGGGGTTCCCGAGAGGCCCAGGTGAGCTGCTCTGCGCCCAGCGCCGCCTCTCCTCGCCCCCCACTTTGTCCCCCTCCCGGGCCCCCAGTCCTGCCCCTCTCTGGTGACCTGTCACGGGGAGAACCACCGTCCTAGCCCCGCTTTGTTGATCTCCCCGCTACCTGGCTGGTCTCTGAAAATTAACTTCTCAACAAAGAAAGATTTGGGCCCTGGCGGGGTAGCTCAGTTGGTTAGAGCATCGTCCCTATGGGCCAAGGTTTCAGGGAACCTGGTCAGGACACCTACAAGAATCAACCAATGAATGCACAAGTAAGTGTAACAACAAATTGATGTTTCTTTCTCCCTCTCCCTTTCTCGCTCTCTAAAAATCAATAAATAATTTTTTTAAAAAAAAAGCTACAAAAAAGAAAGCAAGATTTGGAATTGGGAAAGAAACATTCAGAGCTTTATCAGACCACTTAAAGGGAAGTTGTCGACAGCCTAATGTTTTTTGTCAGCCAGCAGTGGTTTCCTTTGCCAGGGTGCCTGAGTTCACCTGTCAGATGGCGGGCTGCTGCCAGGTATTCGACACCCTGGAGGATTATGAGCATCACTACCACACTCTGCACAGAAACGTGTGCTCCTTTTGCAAGCGGGCCTTCCCCTCGGGACATCTGCTGGACATCCACATCTTGGAGTGGCACGATTCCTTGTTCCAGGTCCTGTCTGAGCGGCAGGACATGGTGGGTGAAGCAGTCATATCGGGGGCTTGGATGGGAGCTGTCTGCCTCAGGGTCAGAGCTCTCAGCTCTTGGGTGGGGCAAGACCAGGGCACCTTCCCACTCCAGCCCCCATCCCTGTGGATGGCGGGACACTGTCTCTGTTTTAGTATCAGTGCTTGGTGGAAGGCTGCACAGAGAAGTTCAAGACCAGCAAAGACAGGAAGGACCACCTGGTGAGACATCACCTCTACCCTGGGGACTTCCGGTTTGATAAACCAAAGAAAAGCAAAGGGTATGTGCAGCCACCCCTGGAATTCAGAGAAGCCTTTTGAGTATATACACACATAATCGATATATGTCTCTCACATCGATGATTCTCTCTCTGTCTCTCCCCCTCCCTTCCACGCTCTCTAAAAACCAATGGAAAAATAGCCTCTGGTGAGGATTAACAAAAAAAAATTTTTAAGGCAAAGTGAAATTGTTATACCTAAATTTATAAAAAGTGGCATCATAACGTTCACTTTTGGCCTTGCCATAATCCTTCTCCTTAATCTGGTAGCCTAGAAATTACACAATGCCAAGATAGTTATAAAATGTCTGCAGGAAAAGACATAGTCTCTTTCTGGTGAGTTCATTTCTATGGTAGACGGGGCTGCATCTGTCACCATGGCGAGCCCTGCGAGCCCCTCTGCTTTCCACAGCCCAGCCACTTCCATGGCTGCCATGGAAGTGCCGACAGAAGCCATGGGGGATGATGGGGACACCATGGAAGTCTGCTCTGAACACGTGACACCACCCCCAGAGCCCGTGGGTGAGAAGCGGACCTACCGCCACAGGTCAGTAGGTGGCATTTCTGAGGTTGTGAACGTGCTGGGAGAAAGAGATGCTGGCTCCACTGTGGGCTTCTGTGGGAGTTGGGAGGCTGGCTGTTTTGGTTCTCGAGGATAACTTTGTGTCTCTGGCTCACTGCTTTCGGAAGCCCTGCAGCGCAGGAATGCAGAGTGCTGCCCCCTTTTCCTGCTCTGCTTCTTTGCAACACGCTGTTAATTTCAGCGTTCAGAAGCAGTGCAGGGTAGAGAGAAGCTCAGTTGTAATTGCTTAGGTTACAACTGTGAGTCTGTCTTTCTAGTATTAACTGCACTTTTATTGGGTTAAACTTGAGTTCAAATCTAATTTGGGGGAAATGTTGGACAAATGAAAAAAATCGCCAAGGAATCCAAACTGACATGAAAAGGACTTGTGTCCCTTCGCTGCCTTCGCACAGCTGCCTGGACTTTGGCCATTGAGTGAGCCTAGATACCAGTGGGCAGTTAGGGTTTCAGTGCAGGGAGGGTGACAGGAAGTCAGCTCTGGAGAGCTTGGTAGGAGCCAGTCCCCATAGGAAGCAGGTCAGAGGCACTGGCCAGCTACAGTAAGGAGCTGCCCCAGAGCAGAGTCTGCAGGAAGGAAGAGCTGCCATTAGGAATGTTCCAGGAGTGAAAGAGCATTCTGGAAGAAGAGGAAAAGACTGCTCTAGGAATTGGGCTGTTTGTTGGTAGAAGGTATGATTCTTTAGTCTGAAGGTTTTTTCCATTTCAGAGTACCTTCCACCGTCTGTTTTGGTCAAGGTGCATCGCGAGGATTTAAAAGCACCAAGAACAGAAATAAGCACTAGTGACAGCTGAGCCTGAGAGCGGGCCTTTGCCACCCTTCATGTCTCGGTCCTTTGGGGGATGGCGGGATGACACCAGTTGCCAATATCAGCAAAGAGAGACCACAGATTTCGGCAGTGACTCTGCTCCCATCCCCTCCCTCTGTAGGGGCCATCCTACAAGTGTTCTTTATAAAGCATATATTTTTTATTTATGGTCTCTAGTCATTTCTATATTGCTGAACTAAGCAGGGAAATGAGCAATAATTACGTTTGAGCACTTTGCTTTCAGCATTCAGCTTTCAGAAAGAATTATTTTACTATAATTATTTTTTATCCTCATCTGAGGATATGTTTTTTTGTTTGTTTGTTTTTGTTTTTATTGATAAGAGAGAAACATTGACCAGATATTGAACCTGTAACCTTTCGGTGTGCGGGACAGCACTCCAACCAACTGGGCCACCTGACTGGCCAGGGCAGTTCTCAGGAAGATTTATGAAGTCTTGGCACCTCTGGAGGGGTGAGTGGGCAGGGTGCCATCAGTGAGAGCTTGTACCTGTTTGAGAGACCCTGGGTCATCCTCTACTGAGCTCTGAGCAAACCTGACTAGGGGGCAGTGACAGAGAAGACTGACAGGTGGCGCCTGGGCAGGGCGGTCAGTGCTGGGATGAAGAGTGCCAGCTGGGGCAGCCTCCCCAAGGAGGGACAGCCACAGGCAGAGGGAAGGGGCTGGCACCAGAGCTCGAGTGCCTGGCTGGTGTCTTCCTGGCAGGAACAGAGCAGATGAGAGTCTACAGTCCTCTCATCGATGGTCACCAGGTAGCTAAGGAGAGAGCACACTGCAAGGGCACATGGAGCCACAGCAGGGAGAAGCAGGTTTGGGCAGGCATGTGGAACCCAGACCTATACCGAAGGTAGCCCATGGACAGAAACAATGGATCCACTCTGTTTTGACAAATAATGGCTGTGGGGCTAGGCCTGGCAGAGTGGGGACCCCCTGCAGGGCCTCCCTCCAGAGGCCTCATCTCTAGTAGGGCTGGGGTGCTTTTATGAACCTCAAATGTGCTCTAGCTGTTTTGGCTCAGTGGATAGAGCGTGAACCTGCAGACTGAAGGTCCCAGGTTCGACTCCAGTCAAGGGCACATGCCCAGGTTGCTGGCTCGATCCCCAGTGTGCAGGAGGCAGCTGATGTCTCTCTCTCTTTCCTCCCTCCCTGAAATCAATACAAATGTACTTTAAAAAAACAAACAAAACCTCAGATGTGAGAAGAGGCTCAAGGTTCTGAGTAGCCTTAAAAAGCAACAACTACACTCTGTGAGGCATAAGGCATATGAGTCAGGTCATGGGTCATGGCTCTCACGCCCTTCAGCCCCTCTCAAGCTCCCTTTGCGCCACGGCCCCACCACCTTCTCTGGTGTGTTTACAGACGGGTCTGTTCCCTGAAGACCCTGACTGGAGTTGGGCTCTGAGTTTAAACAGTTCAGCCCGGTGGGCACAGGCCTGGGGGACGGCAGTGTGGACTATGAGGATGCCTCTCTCATTATCAGCCTTCATTTCCAGCAGCTTCTACTTCAAGAATTGGGTTAGTTTCCATTTAAAATCCATCGTGAATTGTCATTTTCCAGAAACACAGGGAGAGTAATGGCCAGTAATAGGCAGTTTAGGGCACTATCATCAATACTTCTGGGACTTCTCCACTTCTCCGAAGCTGTCTCCTGTGGGCAGCACCTCAGCAGCCCCCTGAGTGATTAAAACCGAGTGGGCAGGCCCAGGGAGAGCCAGCACCAGCGACCTAGGGGAAAGGGCTCGGCATCCCCTCCCTATGGTCACCTCTGGGTCCTGGCTAAGCTGGGAGGCAGGGTGAAGGCGGGGAAGGGGCTGCCCACAGCGAGGATCAGGCTGAATGGTCGAGGGGGCTTCCATCCACCCAGGCACCTTGACAGTCCCAGTGCAGAGTCTAGAAGGAGAGCTGAGGCAGCTGGGAGAAGCCTCAGGAAGGGTCAGACCGGCACCTTCCTCCCTCCGGCCCTAGAGACCTGAATTGACAGCATGTTGCAAAGAAGCAGAGCAGGATGCCAGCAGGTCCCTGGCCATCCTGGCCGAGTTAGCCAATGCCCTTCGTATGGACCCTGAGCCCTAGCAACTCCTCCTCCCCAGCCCAGCACCAGTCTAGGATCCCTGGGGAGCCCAGCGGACAGGGCCTGCGGTACACACCGCCCACCGTGCTCTCTATGCCCATCCGCGGCTCCGTGGCCATCCTGCCTCTCTGCGTGGACACACCCCTACACACACCCACATCCCCACACAGACACAGACACACAGTCCACAGACAGCACCTTGCCTCAGGCTCTCTAATAAAAAATAAATACGGAAAAAATCCCCTAAACCACGATGGTAACACACCTAGTTAGTAATCAGTGCGCTTCATTTCAGCAGTCCTGGCACCAAACTGTTTTCATTTCTTTTGCGGGAATCCGTTTCTTGCTGCCCCAAGACAGTCTGGCGAATCCTTCTGATAGGAGCCGGTTACCGAAGCAGGGGTGTCGGAGGGAGGTCTCACAGAGTAAACTTCAGAATACGTACTTTATTGGCTGCCTTGTACAAATAGGAAGCTCCACCCGGCCACCGTATGAAACTGTGTTCAGTCTTTCAGGAAAGTGTCTAGAACAAACATGATTTTTTTTAAGTTTTTAAATATCTGTAAGATACCCACAAATAGGCTTGAGGCATCAATTATAACATTGTATCAACAACAACAACAAAAACCTGAAAAGCAAAACAAAAAAAAGACCGACGGACGCAGGGGGTTTTCCTGGAAAACTGGGGTGCGCAGCTCGTCCTGTCCTGCGCCGCCCTCCCCTGCGGCCCCCCCAGGCCACCACCTGGCAAGGCGTGTGCCCAGGTCCCCTAGGAGAGGTAATACACGCCGTACGCGGTGATAGGCGCTGCGAAGAGTCCTGGCACCTGAGGCAGGGTGCCTGTAGCACCGCCATAAGCGCCCGGGGAGCCTTGAAGGTGGGTGCCCAGGGGGAAGGGCAGGGCGAACGCGGGCAGCAGCGGCTTGGCCTCCAGTTTCAGCTTCTCCAGCTCGGCCTCCTGCAGCCGCTTGGCCTTGGCCCGGCGGTTCTGAAACCAGATCTTCACCTGTGTCTCCGTGAGGCTCAGGCTGCTGGAGAACTCGGCCCGCTCGGAGATGGACAGGTACTGCTTCTGGCGGAACTTGCGCTCCAGCGCCAGCAGCTGGGCGGTGGTGAAGGGCGTCCGTGGCTTGCGGTTGTTTTTGTGTTTTCGGAGGGTGCAGGGCGGAGGACTGGGGGCGCCTGGGAGGAAAGAGAAGCACACATGGGGTACTCAGACGCCGGCAGTGTGCTCCCCTTTCCGACACTCTTGGATCCCCTTCCCGACTCCGTGATCGCGCCCACCGAGGAGATGAGACCCCAAATGCCACAGGGGTAAGATAAGCAAGGCACCGGGGAGACGGTGCGTGTAGGGGAGGGCCGCTGTGGACTCGGGCTCTGCTCCCCAAATCCAGGGCCCCGCACCCCAGGGACGAGGGGAACTCTGCCCACTTGGAGAGGCGAGAAGCTGGTGCTGGAGGCCGCCTCAATAACAGAGATGAGGGCTTGGCAAAGCGGAAGTTCACCGTCCGGGGGACGGCCCGGGGCTCCAAGAAGCCTCAGGGCTTTGGGGTGCCCACTCCGCTCCCAGGTAGAGCGAGAGCCTGGTTGTGTGGGGCGCGGGAACGGCTGCGGGGCGTGCGCGCGCCCGACGGCTCGGGTGGGCTGGCTTCTCTCTTGGTACTAAGGCAGGGCGGTTCGTGGCTGGTCACTTTCCGAAGTTAGAAGCGACAGCGCCCCTCCCGCCCTGGTCCTTCGAGCTGCCCCGGGCGGGCTCTCGCAGTCTGGGACCGTGCGACAGGGCACTTACGTGGGGAGGACGAGCG